TGGCTAAAGGCTGGCTAAAGGCTGGCTAAAGGCTGGCTAAAGGCTGGCTAAAGGCTGGCTAAAGGCTGGCTAAAGGCTGGCTAAAGGCTGGCTAAAGGCTGGCTAAAGGCTGGCTAAAGGCTGGCTAAAGGCTGGCTAAAGGCTGGCTAAAGACTGGCTAAAGGCTGGCTAAAGACTGGCTAAAGACTGGCTAAAGGCTGGCTAAAGACTGGCTAAAGACTGGTTAAAGGCTGGTTAAGGGCTGGTTAAGACTGGTTAAAGACGGTGGTTAAAGGCTGGCTAAAGGCTGGCTAAAGGCTGGCTAAAGGCTGGCTAAAGGCTGGCTAAAGACTGTGGTTAAGGTCTAGAACCGACTTACCAGATCGTGACCAGCGTTGAGGCACTGCCCTGGCTTCTGGCTGACACACGCCCCCCCCCTCCCCCCTATCAGGCTACTAGACCTGAATAATGCACTTGTCCAGAGACTCACCCCCCCCTCCCCCCTATCAGGCTACTAGACCTGAATAATGCACTTGTCCAGAGCTGATGACCCCACACACCGACCTGGTCACGACCTTCATATGCAAGTCAAATGGGCATGTAGGTTTTTTTTTGTTTTCTTTACGCGGTAGAGTTCATTAACAAGGGAAAATACAAGGAGTAAGGTCTTCGAAACAAATACATTATGTGGGTATTTCTATGTTCTCTCTGTATCTTATAAAATGTGCGTACTTGTATGTTCTCGGCATCGTACAGAATATGGGTACACCTGTGACATCTGTATCTTATAAAATGTGAGTACATCTATGACCTCTGTATCTTATAAAATGTGCGTACTTCTATGCTCTGTGTGTATAATATCGAGTTTCTCACTTGCAACCTTTTGAGACGGAAGAGCCAAAAGTTACAATCTACAAAATTCCCACATTTTTAAAGAGTCTCTAGCATTTTTATGTGCACTTCCTCGTAGTGGAAAGCATGGAACCATTGCTACGGGGCTGGCCACACCACAGTTGGGGGAGGGGAGGGGAAGGGAATAATGCCCACCTGTCAGCTATTCATTGCTTTTTAATTTTACTTAAAGTTGTTTTTGTCTTTACAGTATACTATTTTTTAGTTTTGTAGATCTGCTTCTTCGTTCTTAATTTTTAGTGTTGGAAAGGATCGAGCCTTATCTGCCAGAGGGTTTAAACTCGTGACTTTTTCGAATTTATCAACCATGAGCTTTTGCCGACTCGACCACGCCTCCATCACAATTAAGAATACGTGTCAACTGGTTATGCGCCATTCAGGCCATTGACTCCGATTTGAGCCTGCTTTTCTTTTTTGATTTCCTTCCACAGCCTTTGTCTCTCCTAGAAGAGTGGCTGTCCCCAGCTAACGAGCCTCATCTGCCCGAGGGTTCGAACTCGAGACTTTTCGGTTTAGCAACCATGAGCTTTACCGACTCGACCACGCCGACCCCTGTTTTGAAGATAAAATAATATAATTGTTATGGATCTGGCGATCCGCATCTGGACATCAAAAGAGACGCATGCGGCTCGCGAGCCGCAGGTTGCCGACCCCTGGATTAGGATTATGTTTATGGTTACGTATAATAATATGGTAAAGATTTGTGTTAGGGCGAACTTTATGGTTTAAGTATCGTTATCACAAAAATCGATACCGTCCTGTCTAAAAATGATGAAGTATTAAAATGAGTTTCAAAAAACTAATGCCCATTCCCCTCTGGGTCTTACTGGGGAGGGATAGATTTACACAAAAGTACTGATATTATCTATCACCGTCTTGTTCCTTCTACAGATATTATCTATCACCGTCTTGTTCCTTCTACAGATATTATCTACCACACCCCTGGTTCTTTTAAAGATGTTATAAGACCGTCGTATGGGAAACAGCAGGGTAGATAATTACATAGTCTAGCGCGTCTTAGAGTTCTCTATAGGGCGGGTCATTTGTTTCTGGTCATTTGGTTAAGGGGAAGGGGGGTAGTTTGTGGTCATTTGGTTGAGTGAGGGGGTTTCTGGTCATTTGGTTGAGTGAGGGGGTTAGTTTCTGGTCATTTGGTTAAGGGGAGGGGGGGTAGTTTGTGGTCATTTGGTTGAGTGTGGGGTTTCTGGTCATTTGGTTGAGTGAGGGGGTCCCAGGTCATTTGGTTGAGGGGGGGGGGGGTAGATTTTGTCATTTGGTTGAGTGAGGTGAGGAGGTTTCTGGTCATTTGGTTGAGTGAGGGGGTCCCAGGTCATTTGGTTGAGGGGGGGGGGGGTAGATTTTGTCATTTGGTTGAGTGAGGTGAGGTGGTTTCTGGTCATTTGGTTGAGTGGGGTGGTCCCAGGTCATTTGGTTGAGGGGGGGGGGTAGATTTTGTCATTTGGTTGAGTGAGGTGAGGTGGTTTCTGGTCATTTGGTTGATTGAGGTGGTTTCTGATCATTTGGTTGGCTATGTTATGATTGTATGGGCTGCAAGTGATAGATGTGACTGGGTTATGCTAGGGTTGAGACCTATAGCTCTATAAGTATAGAATGTGTTGAATTTATAAACGACTATACCTAAACTTTCCTTAGCCGTAGTATTACAAGCAGGCTCTAAAGACTGAGAGTTTTGATTCAGCAACTCTTCCATATCCTAACTATAAGACGACATTGGACATAGAATTCTGACGCACAGCCCACAATCTATAAAATGTCACTCTGTGGTCGTACACTTTCCAGCATCCTTCATGAAGTACAGACCTCCACCAGCGATACATATAATAGTGTAAGCTTCAAGATCATCACATTTGGGTCTGTGTGTCAGAAACAGCTTTACAATAATGAAATGTTTGTTTATTTTATTTGGTTTACTTGGATTATATGGGATATAGGATTTATTTGGCTAATGAAAGAAAAGCCTTGTGGATCAAGGTGCTCTTGTGTGATGAATATCTTTTGATTAATTGTCAACCACCCCTCTCCACACCACCACCACCACATGTGGGCGTGGTCAGAATAGGGTTTGGTGACTTCACACACACACACACGCATGCATGCGCAGACACACACTTGTGTAGTGCGACTGCGCAGAACATCAGGAATATGCCGTTTTACACTGCTTGAGATTTGGTTTAAAGTGCGAGCTAGTTAAGTGAAGCTTTAGCACTTAAAATGTGTGATGTTGTTGTCGCTGGTAACTACGGGAGATGTTGCTGGTTTTTTTTTAAAGCATGAAATAACAACTGGACATTTAAGCTAATTTCAGAGTAAACCTGTGGTAGCCAATGGAAGATCTATTCAAGTAGGTTTTGTTTTTGTTCGAGCAGTGGCCATAACACCATAACACCATAACACCATAACACCATAACACCATAACACCATAACACCATAACACCATCTCCCAACCTCTCACCTGCCGCCCAACAACCTCTAAACAGCTTTCCTCCCAACTTCTTCCCACCTCGCAATAACCTCCCACTGAATCTCCTAAACATCCCCCACCTCCCTCCCATCTCCCGCTAAACCACCCCTAACATCCTCAAGACCACCTCTTATTAAATCCCCCCCCCCCCCCCAACAACCTCAAAAAACCACCTCCCACCCAGCAACCTCCTACCGAACTCCCAATAGCCCCCCCCCCCCCAACACGCAGAGACATCATCCAATCTACCTCCTACAAATCCCTACTTACCTCCCCCAACAACCCACCACCCCTCAGCCCCCAGCATCGTCCCACCCACCTCCCAATAACCTCCACACATCCCCTCTCTCGCAACCTCCCACCAATCTTCCAGTATCCCCCGTCATTAACCCCCCCCCCAACCCCCAACCCAACATCCTCCCCAACCCCTAGTGTCATCCCGCCCACCTCCAGTATCCCCCGTCATTAACCCCCAAACCCCCAACATCGTCCCACCCACCTTCCAATAAACAGGCAAACCTAACCTAACCTCCCCATACTCCCACCCCCCCCCTCCCAAACCCCCAACATCCTCCCACGGAATTAGCTACAAAAGTCAAGCTAGAAGTTCAATGACGTCACTGCCAACAATAGAATCCCCCACGAATAACACATGTACTGACGCAAAAGACTTGACAAAAAAACTCATTTTCTAATTAAAACACTGTTTACCTAATGAAAGTCCAATAAAAATTAGTCCAATATCGAAAACGTTTTCACTTTTAACACGCGCATCAAGTTACCTGTCTAAACTAAGCTCAAGCTTCATATTTTAGAAAACAGTTCATTTTTATCGTGAGATAATATTTAGAGACTGTATCACCCAGTCTAAATTTACCCAACTCTGGCTTCTGTCAGATTAATTGCATGCTAACAGGACTGCCTGGCACTCTCTCGTTGAAGTCATTAGTTCCTAAAGTGCTGGGCGAATTTAGCTCTTTTTAGCCTTCAAGTATATGTATGATAGCTTTAATTACCTTTAAAGTGTGTGTACTTCTGTTGGAGGGTGGGAGGGGGTATGGGTGTCTAGAGACAAGGTGAGAATAGGTGAGAGTATGAAGTAAACCGCCTCTAATCCAGTTATATCCAGGTGTTCACTTAATGCCTTGAGTTTTGTAAAATTTGTACCCCAGTCAATGTATATGTATATATATATGTATATATGACATGTATTTGTATACATATATGTAGGTATATTTGTATTTGTACATAAATATATGTATATATATATATATATATATATATATATATATATATATATATATATATAATAATATATATATATATATATATATATATATATATATATATATATATATATATATATATATATATATATATATATATAAATTTTAACTGGATAAAAATAGCACATGTCGTATGTAGTACCACGTTGCGTGGTATGAAACGACATTGTCCTGATGTATAAAACGACATTGTCCTGATGTATAAAACGGCATTGTCCTGATGTATAAAATGAAATTGTCCTAATGTATAAAAGGAAATTAACCTGATGTATAAAACGACATGATGTAAACAGTAACGACCTTACCTTGATGTATACCACATCTTCTATCCCACCATCCAGAGCGACGACAACGTTGTGGACATCTCCTACGACGAGCAGGTCAACACAATCATCAGTATACAGAACGCCTGTCTGCAGTTCATCGACTCACGGTCTAATGTCAACAACACAGGTTAGTGTATGCGTCCCATGTCTCACCACTTCCTTATCTCATGTCTCACCACCTCTCGTCCCATCTGTCTCACCACTTTCTCTCGTCCCATGTCTCATCACCTTCTCTCGTCCCATATGTCTCACCATCTTCTCTCATCCCATGTCTCATCACCTTCTCTCGTCCCATGTCTCACCACCTTCTCTCGTCCCATCTGTCTCACCACCTTCTCTCGTCCCATCTGTCTCACCACCTTCTCTCGTCCCATATGTCTCATCACCTTCTCTCGTCCCATCTGTCTCACCACCTTCTCTCATCCCATCTGTCTCACCACCTTCTCTCGTCCCATCTGTCTCACCACCTTCTCTCGTCCCATCTGTCTCACCACCTTCTCTCGTCCCATCTGTCTCACCACCTTCTCTCGTCCCATCTGTCTCACCACCTTCTCTCGTCCCATATGTCTCACCACCTTCTCTCGTCCCATGTCTCACCACCTTCTCTCGTCCCATCTATCACCACCTTCTCTCGTCCAACGTATCACCACCTTCTCTCGTCCCATCTGTCTCACCACCTTCTCTCGTCCCATCTGTCTCACCACCTTCTCTCGTCCCATGTATCACCACTTTCTCTCGTCCCATGTATCACCACCTTCTCTCGTCCCTTGTATCACCACCTTCTCTCGTCCCTTGTATCACCACCTTCTCTCGTCCCATCTGTCTCACCACCAACTCTCGTCCCATATGTCTCACCACCAATTCTCGTCCCATGTCTCACCACCAATTCTCGTCCCATGTCTCACTACCTTCTCTCGTCCCATGTATCACCACCTTCTCTCGTCCCATGTCTCACCACCTTCTCTCGTCCCATATGACTCACCAACTTCTCTCGTCCCATGTCTCACCACCTTCTCTCGTCCCATCTATCACCACCTTCTCTCGTCCGACGTATCACCACCTTCTCTCGTCACATCTGTCTCACCACCTTCTGTCGTCCCATCTGTCTCACCACCTTCTCTCGTCCCATCTGTCTCACCACCTTCTCTCGTCCCATGTATCACCACTTTCTCTCGTCCCATGTATCACCACCTTCTCTCGTCCCTTGTATCACCACCTTCTCTCGTCCCATCTGTCTCACCACCTTCTCTCGACCCATCTGTCTCACCACCAACTCTCGTCCCATATGTCTCACCACCAACTCTCGTCCCATGTCTCACTACCTTCTCTCGTCCCATGTATCATCACCTTCTCTCGTCCCATGTATCACCACCTTCTCTCGTCCAATCTGTCTCACCACCTTCTCTCGTCCAATCTGTCTAACCACCTTTTCTCGTCACATCTGTCTCACCACCTCTCGTCCCATCTGTCTCACCACCTTCTCTCATCCCATCTGTCTCACCACCTTCTCTCGTCCAATCTGTCTCACCACCTTCTCTCGTCCCATCTGTCTCACCACCTTCTCTCGTCCCATCAGTCTCACCACCTTCTCTCGTCCCATCAGTCTCACCACCAACTCTCGTCCCATGTCTCACTACCTTCTCTCGTCCCATGTATCACCACCTTCTCTCGTCCCATCTGTCTCACCACCTTCTCTCGTCCCATCTGTCTCACCACCTTCTCTCGTCCCATCTGTCTCACCACCTTCTCTCGTCCCATCTGTCTCACCACCTTCTCTCGTCCCATCTGTCTCACCACCTTCTCTCGTCCCATCTGTCTCACCACCTTCTCTCGTCCCATCTGTCTCACCACCTTCTCTCGTCCCATCTGTCTCACCACCTTCTCTCGTCCCATCTGTCTCACCACCTTCTCTCGTCCCATCTGTCTCACCACCTTCTCTCGTCCCATCTGTCTCACCACCTTCTCTCGTCCCATCTGTCTCACCACCTTCTCTCGTCCCATCTGTCTCACCACCTTCTCTCGTCCCATCTGTCTCACCACCTTCTCTCGTCCCATCTGTCTCACCACCTTCTCTCGTCCCATCTGTCTCACCACCTTCTCTCGTCCCATCTGTCTCACCACCTTCTCTCGTCCCATCTGTCTCACCACCTTCTCTCGTCCCATCTGTCTCACCACCTTCTCTCGTCTCATCTGTCTCACCACCTTCTCTCGTCCCATCTGTCTCACCACCTTCTCTCGTCCCATCTGTCTCACCACCTTCTCTCGTCCCATCTGTCTCACCACCTTCTCTCGTCCCATCTGTCTCACCACCTTCTCTCGTCCCATCTGTCTCACCACCTTCTCTCGTCCAACGTATCACCACCTTCTCTCGTCCCATCTGTCTCACCACCTTCTCTCGTCCCATCTGTCTCACCACCTTCTCTCGTCCCATCTGTCTCACCACCTTCTCTCGTCCCATCTGTCTCACCACCTTCTCTCGTCCCATCTGTCTCACCACCTTCTCTCGTCCCATCTGTCTTACCACCTTCTCTCGTCCCATCTGTCTCACCACCTTCTCTCGTCCCATCTGTCTCACCACCTTCTCTCGTCCCATCTGTCTCACCACCTTCTCTCGTCCCATCTGTCTCACCACCTTCTCTCGTCCCATCTGTCTCACCACCTTCTCTCGTCCCATCTGTCTCACCACCTTCTCTCGTCCCATCTGTCTCACCACCTTCTCTCGTCCCATCTGTCTCACCACCTTCTCTCGTCCCATCTGTCTCACCACCTTCTCTCGTCCCATCTGTCTCACCACCAACTCTCGTCCCATCTGTCTCACCACCAACTCTCGCCCCATCTGTCTCACCACCTTTTCTCGCCCCATCTGTCTCACCACCTTTTCTCGCCCCATCTGTCTCACCACCTTTTCTCGCCCCATCTGTCTCACCACCTTTTCTCGCCCCATCTGTCTCACCACCTTTTCTCGCCCCATCTGTCTCACCACCTTTTCTCGCCCCATCTGTCTCACCACCTTTTCTCGCCCCATCTGTCTCACCACCTTCTCTCGTCCCATTTGTCTCACCACCTTCTCTCGTCCCATTTGTCTCACCACCTTCTCTCGTCCCATTTGTCTCACCACTTTCTCTTGCCTCAAGTTATCAGCTTCATCTCCTTCTCTATCTGTCACTAATACGTTCCTTTATTCCAGAACTTTCTAATATTTGTATCACTAAATAAACATAATATGCTTAAAGTGCTTATTTGTTCTATTTGTTGGCCGTGTATTTAGAACGTTAATTAGGTATCAATCTTAAAGCCTCATTAAAAAATCGTTAATACGATAACACTCTTAAAACCTCATTAAAATGTCAATCGATTCTAAATTTGCCCAGTAAATAAACGCCTTTAGAAATTTGTTTATGCACTTCGATATTCCGTCTCGTTTGTAAATCGTGAGGATATTGCTCGATTCAAATTTTTGGACCCTCACAACTGAGTGTTTATCCACAAAGTTCACTTGATAAACATTGCGACACATTAGTTAGCTTTTATAAGTTTAGATAGGGATTGAGTCATACTTATTATGTACGTTCTTGTGAAATGTTTAGGCAAGGTAGTAAAGTAAGTAAAGTTTCCCTTTCAAACCTGACGGTCTATGGAGCAAATGAAGTAGAGTTTACTTGTTTCTGTGACCTCGGCATATGAAGAGATAGTGTGGTCAACACTATGCCCAGCCGCCTTTACTTTCCCTAACGTGAGTTAGGTACCCATCAGAGTTGGGTGGACTCAGGGACGGTCTACTGACTTGAACCCGGATTCGAACTCGAGACATACGGGTTAGCAGTCCAACTCTCTACCGCTAGACCACTCCGTCCCATGTTTAGGCAAGGTAAGGCACCGTAATTAACTGAGTCGTCTATAATTTGAGTCATTAATTCACCAGCCATCAGGAGCAGGGTGAGGCCACACCCCTACCCCACCCCCACACATACACCTCTTCTTTATATAAATATAACATTCGACAAATTATTGCGTATTTATACGGACACCGTTTTGCTGCAACAAATGTTTACGTCTATATCAGTGGCGGAACTAGAAAAAAGGGGCCACCCCGCAAACACATTTTTTAGGCCCCCCATATAAATATTTAGGCCTATATGTATATATGTATATATATATATATATATATATATATATATATATATATATATATATATATATATATATATATATATATATATATATATATATATATGTATATATATATATATGTATATATATATATATATATATATATATATATATATATATATATATATTTATATATATATATATATATATATATATATATATATATATATTTATATATATATATATATATATATATATATATATATATATATATATATATACTCAAACACTACATACGAACATAGGATACTTAATGCTGGCCTGTTCGTGTTATAAGAATTCGAGTTTTTTTTTTAAATTAAAACAAATTACAACATCATGTCAATTTTTGTCATGTGTGTAAGTGCATTAGTCTGTTTTGTGAAAATCAGTTGTATATTATCTCTGCCGTAGCACCACTAGCTACATTTCGGTCAAAAGACTATAAAACATGAAAGCTTTCTGTAAATAATGGTGTCTCGTGTCATGTTTATTTTTATGTTTTTTTGTTTTTATTTTATTAATTTTAAATACATTTTCTTTCTGTACAGTGTCTTTCTTTAGTAAGTAATTTATAAACAAATAATAATAAAGAAAAGTAATTGCTTTTTAATTTGTTTAGTACAAATCTATTAAAAAGCGGCTTATGAGCATCACTATTTGACTATTTAAAAAAGGGAAATAAGTCATGGAAGTGGTTTGAACGTTTGCTTATCTTTGAAAAGATTGATTGTATGAGAAAGAGGACTCTGCTTTCACAGTGGTTTAAAAACGAAGGAAAAATGAGCGGGAAGTGGTGTCTATAGAATAAAGATAATCCAACCGCAGCTACGGTAATCTTTTTTACAAAACAAACATTAAGTCAAAAATGCAAGAAATTTTTTTTAACTATAACAATTTTTTTTATGGTCGGCCGTGGGCCCCTAAATGGCGTGGGCCCCCCCGCATTGCGGGGTCTGGCGGCACTGTAGTTCCGCCCCTGGTCTATATCCTGTACCTTCAAAGTACCATGAAACAGATTCACTTAACAATTCTATACGTTTAACCCCGGAAAACAATTTCACACATCATAGAGATAAGCATGAAATAATACTACATTACTACAAGATGTATTTTTAAGTAGCTGATGACAGTAGCGTAGGGAGGTCGGGTGTCACCCGGTGCGGCACTTAATGGTGTCACCCCCCAGAGGCGTAGCGACCCTTTCCTGGGCAAACTTTCAATTTTAGATTTGCACCCCCCCCCCTCAAACTTTCGATGCGCACCCCCCTCCTCAAACTTTCTATTTACACCCACCCCCCTCAAATTGTTCTCTATATATTTTGCTATTTTTTGCCTTGGTCACCCCCCTAAATGGTGTCACCCGGTGCGGTCCGCACCCCCGCACCCCCCCCCCCCCCTCGCTACGCCTCTGGCTGATGATAACAAATGAAATCAGAGTTGTAATACCTTATTTTACAAAGGTTATATTTTATTAATTTCTAAAAACGAAGTGTTTTACAATCAACCTTCAATAAAGGCACATAATATTTAATGCATCGATTTTTCTTCTTTTTTCCCAATCGTGTGTTATTTAATTAGAGCAGGGGTCTCCAAACTTTTCAGTCCGAGGGCCGCATGAACAATCAAATTTGAGTTCGGGGGCAGTTTCTTCCAGGCATGTCTTTGATTTTTCTGGGCAAAGTTCCTTAGCCATCACCAACAAATGTTTTTTTCGTGGCAATAAGATCTCCGCGGGCCGGATGAGAGGACATTGCGGGCCGCATCCGGCCCGCGGGCCGTAGTTTGGAGACCCCTGAATTAGAGTAACTAATTAAACAGTGAACCAGTTCGTGCAATTAAAATCAGCTTCATTTATTATACAATTAAAACAAAATCTTCAAGGCTTGCTAAAAACTCCGAGCATCCTGGACCAGAGGCGTAGCGACTTATTCCGGCGCCCGGGGCGGACTATCAATTTCTCGCCCACTCCCTCCTTTTTTTATATGTAATTATTCCTGTCTATGAAAAACCTCCCCTCTTAATTCTGTGTATAATTCGATACTTCAGCTTAAAAAAGCTTTTAAATTAATTTTGCTACTCCTTTTGGCGCCCCCTTGGGATCGGCGCCCGGGGTGTCCGCCCCCCCCCCCCCCCACCTCCCCAGATACGCCACTGTCCTGGTCCAGCCTCCTATCTTGTCACACCTTTACCCAACTAGATCTATTTTTTTGTTGACGTGTGCCGTGTCTAAGATTTCACTCCATCCACAACTCAACTTCTATCAAACTTTTATAGAAGACGATCCACCCTTTCACTAACAGCAAATCATCTCTATTACATTATTTAGTAAGAACCCATGTCCACTAAAGTCAGATTACCTACCGTTTTTACCAACTCACTGTCAAAATATCGAATTATCCGACGGCAAAGATCTTCTTTTTATTTTTCTAAATTGAATATTCCATCTTTTCAATGATATGGAATCTCACAGTGAAAGGGATTTTTATTTTTCTAGCGACCGCTATGGACGGGCATGATAGGTATCGATCCTATAGGTATCGATTCTGGAAGACGCGAACAATAAGCGATCCAGTGCATCTTTGCTCTAGCTGCGAAAACGTTTGCCGGGGAATAAAGTGGGTAACCATAGCAACGTTTTAAGATATTGTTCTGTGTTATTGGTGGACTTAGTTTTATTAGTGATAGAAACTGTTAAAGTGCAATAGTCTTTGCCATATAACCTTTTTCTAGTATTTAATTATTTACTAGGAAGATAAGTTATTTTATACGCTGGGTTTTTGTTGCTAAGTGGTGACACTTTTTTCGTTTCTGTGTCCAAAAGTCTAATTTTTGTGTTGTTCCACATGTCCAAAAGTCTAATTTTTGTGTTGCTCCATATGTCCAAAAGTCTAATTTTTGTGTTGCTCCACATGTCCAAAAGTCTCATTTTTGTGTTGCTCCACATGTCCAAAAGTCTCATTTTTGTGTTGCTCCACATGTCCAAAAGTCTCATTTTTGTGTTGCTCCACATGTCCAAAAGTCTCATTTTTGTGTTACTTCAGGTGTCTTAAAGTCTAATTTTTGTGTTGCTCCATATGTCCAAAAGTCTAATTTTTGTGTTGCTCCACATGTCCAAAAGTCTAATTTTTGTGTTGCTCTACATGTCCAAAATTCTAATTTTTGTGTTGCTCCACATGTCCAAAATTCTAATGTTTGTGTTGCTCCACATGTCCAAAAGTCTAATTTTTGTATTGCTCCACGCGTCTATAAAGTGACATTTTGTTTTGATTAACATATAACGTGAAACATAATGTCTGTGATGACGCAAGATTACGTCAGACATGTTTAGCAGATATAGGTTAGCAGAAACAGACTATAGGCCTAGTTGGTTGGGTAGAGAGGCCAATGGGCGCACAGGGCTGACCGGTCACGTGGGACGGTCAGCTGACCACTGAGGCGTGGGGCAGTAGAGCGATGGGCCAGGAGTTGTTAGGTAGCGGTCAGAGACGGCCGAGAATGTAGATAGTTAGGAGATCCTGATTAGCTAGCGAGGGCAGAAGGTGTTAGGTTGTAGAATGGAGCAGATGTAGCTATGTAGAGAACAGTTAGTTAGTGTTAGGATTGGTCATGGGAGTGCGTAGTAGTAGGTAGCATGTGGTATGAACAGTCAGTAGTAGAAGTAAATAGTACAGTGTAGATCAGTTAGGTAGAAACTTGAACATATATATCATTTTAATAAAGAACAATTATAGGTGAACTTGAACTGTGTGTTATTGGATTCATTCGTTCCGGCCTTCCTAAAATCACCACCCTCACAATGTCCATACTCCAGCTTTTTCCAAACAATTAATCTTGAGAAGCCGCCACCCTAATTACGTCAGTAAACATACGCTTATGAAATCTTTAACATGTTTTTCCACAACCAACATTTTTACCATTGTTTCTAAAGAAATTTTGTTGTTTGATGTTCTGTTTTTATTGCATTTCAGAGCTTGTCATTATACAAGTTTCTAAACGTGTTTTTTTTCTTCAGTTTTACGTGATTGTAATAACGAGATTGTTTTTGTATTCCCCCTCTCCACCCAAACAACCCACTTTTTAGAAAACAACTGCCAACCAGTTTGGGATGGACTACTCTGCTGGCCGGAGACGCCACCGGGTACCACGGCAACCCAGCAGTGCCCGGATTATGTCTTGGGGTTCACCACTTCCGGTGAGTTATTTTTAGACCTACCTCACATCGTGCTTTGAGTTTGTTTGTTGTTTTTTTTTTTTTGGCTTTTTTTTTGTTTCTTGTAAAAATTAGCCCCAAAATTTACTTTTAAAAATTTCCAAGTTTAAAATAGAAGCAATATTAAGCCTGCGTCAAATTATTTCATTTACGTCAAATCCCTAAACTTCTAAATTTCTCAGAGTATTTTTCTTCAGTCAAAAATAGAATTGCGTCTTTGGGTTTCCGGTCACCCAAAACACCAACCGTTACCCCAATAACAAAGAGTTCCGACTAAAGGGAGGTGAATGGTGCGAGGCAGGACTCGACTGGGCGGCCAGTAATTGTCTCAGCTGTTCGCTAAAGTACACCGTGTTCGGAACAGCCGGACCAGAAAACTAGGGCTGTCATTCTCGATGCTTTATTACGTCACTGAGATTCTGAGAGAGAAGAAATTGGGCTTTAGGGAAAGGGGGGAAGCTGGTTAACTCTTTTAATGTGAATAGGGCGAATTTGGTACTTGAGAGAAAAAGCGTTTACCATAACAATTCTAGAATATAAGTAGTCACTTGTTTTTTCTGAATTAGCTTCATAGGAAATTATGTATATTTTTAAAACTGTTTTAAGTCAGTTAAATGTTAAAACTATACTCACACCACGAAAAACTTTTACTTAGTGTCAACAAAGATGTGTTAGGGGGTCGTCCATAAATGGCGTCACACTCGTAGGGAGGAGGTGGGGGTCCGTTATTTTGTGACGGTGTGTGATGAGGGGGGGGGGGGGGGGTCAGATGGTGCGACGTCACACTTTTGCTTTATAAAAAAAGCAGTGTTAGAAAACGAATTTTAGACGTTATTTAGAGTTTTAGAAAACTGTTTTAATAAATTATAATAGGAATTGATTTATATACTCTATTTTGACAGAGTTCAGTCAAGATTTAGGAAAAATATCGATGTTTAAAAAAAATTCAACTGCAGTTTTGAGAGGGGTTGTAGGCTGAGTTGTGACGTCAATTTAGGGGGGGGGGGGGTCTGGCTTGTTGTGACAATGTGTGAAGGGGGGAGGGGGGTAAAAGTCGTCAAAACCAGCGTGACGTCATTTATGGATGACACCTTAGGTTAATTATTAGTAGAAAAATGCATTATTATAGCAATTATTAGCTTTCTCTAGTTTATTAAAACAAACCTGCACACATTCCCGTTTTTTTTTTTAAATTATGTTAACAATATCAGCCTGTGTGTGTATAGAATGCTGCTGAAATATTAAAACCTTCCTTGATTTCGTTAATGTTGTCCTTGGTGTATTTGTGAGTGTGATGACGCAAGATTACGTCAGACATGTTTGGCAGATATAGGTTAGCAGAAACAGACTATCTATAGGCCTAGTTGGTTGGTCAGATAGAGGCCAATGGGCGCACAGGGCTGACCGGTCACATGGGACGGTCAGCTGACCACTGAGGCGTGGGTCAGTAGAGCGAGAGGCCAGGAGTTGATAGGTAGCGGTCAGAGACGGCCGAGGAATGTAGACAGTTAGGAGTTGATGATTAGCTAGCGAGGTAGAAGGTGTGAGATTGTAGAATGTAGAGAACAGTTAGTGTTAGGATTGGTCGTAGTGGTAGGTAGCATGTGGTATGAACAGTCAGTAGTAGTAGTAAATAGTACAGTGTAGATCAGTTAGGTAGAAACTTGAACATATATATCATTTTAATAAAGAACAATTATAGTTGAACTTGAACTGCGTGTTGTTGGATACATTCGTTACCGCCTTCTTAAAAAACCCCACCCTCACAGTGAGCTGTAGTCTTACCTTGGTCGTTTTAAATAACTACAGGACCTTTCGTTAATTTTAATTTAGTTGGTTAGTCTTTTCATGATCTTTCCTTTATCTGTTCTTGTTTTATACTAGTTTTTTTCGTTGGTTTGTTGGTTTATCTTTTTGTAATTTTTTTTCATTATTCTGTTCATGTTTTATACCTGGGCTTACCTTGGTTTTTTTTTTATAGATTGTTAGTCTGTTCAATGTTTTTTTTGTTTGATCTTTTAGTGATCTTCCTTTGATTTTTTCATGATCTTTCCTTGATCTTTTCTTGATCTTTCTTTGACCCACCCAGAAAACGCGACGCGTCGCTGTATGTCTGACGGTACATGGTACGTGGACCGGGATCGAAACACAACCTGGACTGACCTCAGCTTGTGTAGAGGCATCAGGCACAACGATATGACAATCAGTGTTGTCGAGGTAGGTGTCTTCGTCCAATGTTGTCGAGGTAGGTGTCTTCGTCCAATGTTGTCGAGGTAGGTGTCTTCGTCCAATGTTGTCGAGGTAGGTTTCTTCATCTAATGTTGTCGAGGTAGGTTTCTTCATCGTCCAGTCTGGTCGAGGTAGGTTTCTTCGTCGTCCAATGTTGTAGACCGTAGGTTTCTTCATCGTCCAATGTTGTCGAGGTAGGTGTCTTCGTCTAATGTTGTCGAGGTAGGTTTCTTCATCTAATGTTGTCGAGGTAGGTTTCTTCGTCGTCCAATGTTGTCGAGGTAGGTTTCTTCATCGTCCAGTCTGGTCGAGGTAGGTTTCTTCGTCGTCCAATGTTGTCGAGGTAGGTGTCTTCGTCGTCCAATCTCTTTTAGTCGTTTAAGTGTTTGTCTCATTATGCTAGTTGTCTAGCCGTGTACAGAAAGCCACACCCATTCAAGAGTTTGTTTCATTAATCTATCCATACTCTCGATAAGTACTTGCGTGCGGTTAAAGTGGGTTTTGGTCGATTTGTGTTCAATTTTCAATGAAAAGAACAGCTTGTATTCTTCTTCTTTTTCTTAACTTTAATGTCAGACGTGATTTCCTCCAACACTGTTAAGTATTACGTGTCAACTTGGAATGCGCCATGTAGGTAGTTGACTCCGATTTCAGCCTGCTTTTTTTTTCTGGGTTTGCTTCCAAAGCCGTTGTCTAACCAAGAACAAAGTACAGGGCAGCTTCTATTGAATAACCTTGTTTTTTTTTTTTATCCCAAAGTGTGGAAGTTAACGGTGTGGTGCGGTCGAGTGGTAGGACACGACATTACTGTTCCAAATGTCTTGTACCGAACTCGAACCCGTCGAACTTCTCAGAGTCTACCAAGCACCTGGGGCAAGGTTATGCATGTAGGGCACAGAGTTTCTTCCAGGCATTTCTTCGCCTTCCCCCCCCCCCCCCCGCGAAGGAAGTCTACCGTCATCGCCCCCCCCCCCCCCGACCGAAATTGAATTTATATAGAAAATATATACTTTTAACAGTGTCCTCCCCCCTCCCTGAAAATTTGAAAGTGCCCCCTACCAGAGAAAAAAGTCTGGAAGAAACACTGTTTGGGCAGCATGTCATACGGAGGTCAGAAAACAAACAGGTGAACTCTACCGCACCTGCCGTATTGCCTGCCAAGTACTAAGTTGTAACTTTTGTGTGTTTTAATTGTGTAGTTTAACTCTACAACGGAATTCAATAAAATAAATTCACTCTGGTATTTTCTTCAGTCGCATCTGGGTACCCTAGGCCTGATGTACAATGTTGGGTACGGAATTTCGCTGACTTCGTTGGTTCTCTCTGTGATCATTATGATTGGCTTCAAGTAAGTGACAAACGTTGTGTTGTGAATGGTTAAAAAATGTGGCAAGCGTTATTTTGTGAATGGTTAAAAAGTGACAACCGTTATTTTGTGAATGGCTTAAAAAATGACAAACGTAATTTTGTGGATATCTACGTTACCCTTCCTGTTATCCGAGAACAGGAAAAAACAAAACATAGTAGGTCTACCCCATGGGATGCTAGAAATATTCGAAAAATAATCGAAAAGCCCAGTGCTAAAAGTACTTAAGTCCGGCTTGTGAAGCTCAAACCAAGCAATCGTTGCTATCCTACTAGTATGGCTGCATATGATATACACATATTATTATTAATGCTGGAGTATTTATTTAAGTCCCTCTTATAAGCACCCATATAATATTTTTCTAGTTATTTTTTTAATCCAATTTGAATTTGTGAACTCAGTTACTTTAAAATGTTATCTAAGTAAGCACTTTCAGCATTGCTTTTTTTTTAAGTTTAGGGTGTCGCAGTTTTATGGGGTTTTGTGTCCTTTTTTATTCGAAATAAAAGTTTATAACATGTGCCAGATAAATTGTTTCTTTTTTTAGTCTTTTCTTATTCGAACTAAAAGTTGACCAGTTGAATTTTGTTTTATTCGAACTAAAAGTTGACCAGTTGAATTTTGTTCACCAGAAAGCTCCACTGCCCGCGCAACACAATTCACCTGAATCTCTTCTTCTCCTTCATACTGCGCGCGTCCATTTCATTCATGAAGGAAAACTTACTGGTCAAAGGTTTGGGGTTTCCCGGTGACGTCACACGGGATAAAAACAACTTCCTGATCTTCAAAAACGAAAGTACTGTAAGTATCCAATTTTTCGTTTTAGGTTTAATACAACATTAATCCCAAATACACGACATCGATTGCGCTAAAGAATAATACATTAAGTAAAAGTACTGTTTTAAATTGGCTAATTAAAGTTAAATATTACATGAAAAACAAATTAATTTTAAAATGAGCTTGGTTAAATTATCACTCAAAATAAAAAGTACTTTGTATGACAACCAACAATTAACATTTTAATCTGGTAAAATACTTCTCTTTGGAAATTGCGTATGGCTTTTGTTGTTAGAGTACATTAAGTGTTTAATGATCACCACCTTTACTCACGTTAGCATGCACGTCAGCACACAAAGTGCAAAAACAAAGCTGGCCCAAATTTTGGACAAAGTCTAGTTCATAAAAGTCTATACTTTTAGTCTTAACTACAAAAAATATTAACGTTTTCAATTAGCCTGCTTTTCCTTTTTACAGCTTTTTGTTATACTCATAAAATTGACTCTTTTTTAAAATGTACTTTAAACGATCTTTTTAAACTAAAAATTTGTTTTAATTAAAAAATTGTTAAAAGAACACGTTTTAGTTTGAAAGTGTCATAAAGATTTTTTTGTTTTATTATTGATTTTTTCTCCCACTCTCCGCCATCTTTCGCAGCATTGGGAGTGCAAGTTATTTTTTGCGTGTTTTAACTACATCCTTGGTGCCAACTACATGTGGATCTTCGCTGAGGGTCTGTACTTGCACATGATACTGTCGGTGACGGTCTTCTCTGAGAGGGGCAGTCTCAAGTGGTACATTCTGCTGGGATGGGGTGAGTTGGTTAGTGGGGTAGGGTGGGTGGTGTGGGGTGGGGTGGGGCAGTCTCAAGTGGTACATTCTTCTTGGATGGCGTGAGTTGGTTAGTGGGGCAGGGCAGTCTCAAGTGGTACATTCTGCTTGGATGGGGTGAGTTGGTTAGTGGGGTAGGGTGGGTGGGGTGGGGTGGGGTGGGGCAGTCTCAAGTGGTACATTCTTCTTGGATGGCGTGAGTTGGTTAGTGGGGCAGGGCAGTCTCAAGTGGTACATTCTGCTTGGATGGGGTGAGTGGGGGAGGGGTGGGTGGGGTGAGGTGGGTGGGGCAGTCTCAAGTGGTACATTCTGCTTGGATGGGGTGAGTTGGTTAGTGGGGAGGGGTGGGTTGATTAGTGGGGTGGGTGGGGTACGGCAGTCTCAAGTGGTACATTCTGCTTGGATGGGGTGAGTGGTGGAGGTGGGGTGGGACAGTCTCAAGTGGTACATTCTGCTTGGATGGGGTGAGTTGGTTAGTGGGGAGGGGTGGGTGGGGCAGTCTCAAGTGGTACATTCTGCTTGGATGGGGTGAGTGGGGGTGGGTGGGGTGGGGTGGGGTGGGTGGGGTGGGACAGTCTCAAGTGGTACATTCTGCTTGGATGGGGTGAGTGGGGGTGGGTGGGGTGGGGTGGGTGGGGTGGGACAGTCTCAAGTGGTAAATTCTGCTTGGATGGGGTGAGTGGGGGTGGGTGGGGTGGGGTGGGGTGGGTGGGGTGGGACAGTCTCAAGCGGTACATTCTGCTTGGATGGGGTGAGTTGGTTAGTGGGGAGGGGTGGGTGGGGCAGTCTCAAGTGGTACATTCTGCTTGGATGGGGTGAGTGGGGGAGGGGTCGGTGGGTGGGGTGGGGCAGTCTCAAGTGGTACATTCTGCTAGGATGGGGTGAGTTGGTTAGTGGGGAGGGGTGGGGTGGGGCAGTCTCAAGTGGTACATTCTGCTTGGATGGGGTGAGTTGGTTAGTGGGGTGGGTGGGGTGGGGCAGTCTCAAGTGGTACATTCTGCTTGGATGGGGTGAGTGGGGGTGGGTGGGGTGGGGTGGGTGGGGCAGTCTCAAGTGGTACATTCTGCTTGGATGGTGTGAGTTGGTTAGTGGGGCAGGGCAGTCTCAAGTGGTACATTCTGCTTGGATGGGGTGAGTTGGTTAGTGGGGTGGGGTGGGTGGGTGGGGTGGGTGGGGTGGGGCAGTCTCAAGTGTGTAACGTTAACCTATCTATCAGCCAAATAGAAGGAGAACGTCCCCGGATTCTTTTTTCGGGGTCATATGCAAATGCCTTACGGCCAAAGTGGATGAACACTTAACACAACGACCACTAGGGCTCGAATTTAATGTCTAGGGAAGCTAGTGATACTATTGTAATTAACACTCATCCAATCTACATACGACCTTTTAATCAGCGAACTCAGAAGTGGCAGAACACAATGTTGAACTAAATAAAATATTTAATGTATAAAATATCAAAAACCCAACTTACACAATGTAGGAAAAAACACTATCACAGATTTCTACACTGTCTAAAGAACAGCCACAGGCCACACAACACTGCTGTAGCTTCAAGACTTACTTAGCGACAAGTAATATTAAACTAGAAGACTAAATCAACTGAAGAAAACAAGGCACACACAGGTCTTAAGTACTCTCACGTTCAAATGGTCAGAGTCTATAGCCGGACAATATGGACGGCTGCCTGATCGAGGTAAAACTGCCTCGTAGGCTGCCAGGTCAAGATAAAACTGCCTCGTGTTGCGAGTGTGCAGTGCAATTAAAGACTTCTGTGACAGGGGAGGTTATCCTCAACTCATGTCGCCATTGGTTGGGATAATCATCTGATCAGAATCATTCAATCAGATTTTAATGGAAAATTTCTATGTCCCAAACACCTTAATAAGTCAGTGGAAAAACCCCAGGTGTTACACCATCATTCCATATAAGGAATTATACAATGTCAAAATAAAAATGACTCGACCTAAGTAGGTCACATCCCCTCCCTTTTTGGAAGTGACAGATAGGTTCCACAAAAACATACATAAGGAACCAATCTGGCAATGAAATAACAAAAATGTTTTACAAATGTAGGCAATCAAAATCATAATACCAGATGAAAATATCCCTGAACATAAAAGGGAAGTAACTCCAACTTTTACACTTGGTGAAAGGGGAGTAACCCTTCAAAAAGTAATTATACATCAAAATCCCTCAAAAGGGGGTATTACAATATTTCCATGTGGATATTAAAGTGGTAAACCCGCCAGGGTAAGACCTTTATTTCAATGACTAGCTACAATATCAATTGAGTCATATGAGACATATTATTATAAAAGATTACATATAATCAAAAACCACCTTTAATTAAGGTTCACCTGAAAATAAACAAAATATTCAACAGGATTGGAATTTTGAAAAAAATTCAAAACTCACACCACTCATTTTCATATGAGTGACACTCAAACAAAACCTGTTTATGGTCCTAATGAACCACAAAGCGTGTCACATGATCAATGTGTGTAACAAGATTTTACATCCTTGACAAACAATCAGCCACAACATTATCACTACCCTTAATGTGTGAAATTTCCAGATTAAAATTTTGGAAATATAAGCACCATCTTAATATTCTTTGATTTGTCTGTCCTAACTTAGAGGTAAATTTCAGGGGATCATGGTCAGAAAACACTCTGACTGGATTGGTTGAAGAAGAGACATAGACTTCAAAATGTTGTAATGACAAAACCAAAGCTAAAGCCTCTTTTTCAATAGTAGAATAATTCTTTTGGTTTTCATTTAACTTCCTGGAAAAAAAGGCAATGGGATGGTCAATTCCCATGTTGTCTTCTTGAAATAGGACTGAGCCAATGGCTAAGTTGCTAGCATCAATGGCAAGTTTAAAGGGCTTGCTAAAATTTGGTGCAGCCATAACAGGAGCATTTGATAGAAATGACTTAATGGTTAAAAAAGCTTCTTGACATTTATCTGACCATTCAAACTCAACACCCTTTTTCAATAATGCAGTAAGAGGTTCAGCAATAGCTGAAAAGTTTTGACAGAACCGCCTATAGTAACCAGCCATCCCAAGGAACTTTTTGATCTCTTTACAATTTTTGGGAGGTGGTAACCTTACAATAGCATCTACTTTAGCTTCAATGGGCCGAACTTGGTTCGTTCCCACTTGATAACCCAAATAGGAAATTGAAGCTTTACAGAAATCACTTTTATGTAAGTTTACAGTAAAATTAACTTCAGACAATTTTCTAAAAAGGTTAGTCAATTGAACAATATGTTCTTCAAAAGTATTAGAAAATACAACTATATCATCTATGTAGGCCTCACATTGGTCTATGTCAGCAATGACAGAGTTAATGACCCTCTGGAAAGTTTGACCAGCATTTCGCATACCAAAGGGCATGCGTTTGTATCTATAAAAACCATTAGGGGTTACAAAAGCAGATAATTCTTTTGCACGGTCAGATAAGGGGATTTGCCAGTATCCTGAAAGTAAATCAATTTTGGAAATTATCTTAGCCTGACCAACTTTATCAATAACGTCCTCTATCCGAGGTAATGGATAGGAATCAGCTTTGGTGAGCGCATTCACCTTCCTAAAGTCGGTCACAAACCTGAAAGATCCACCGTCTTTCGGTACTAGGAGACATGGGGAACTCCAGTTGCTGAAACTGGGCTCAATGATATCATTCTTGAGCATATAATCAATTTCATCTTTTATCAAAGCAGCTTTTTCCGGGTTAACTCTATAGGGGTGTTGTTTAATGGGTTTTGCGTCACCAACGTCTACATCATGAGGTGGAACCTTCGCTTCTTTGGGGACATCCCCAAAAATAGAGGGAAATGTCTCAAATAACTGAGACAATCTATGGCTTTCCTCTGTGGACAAATGCATAAGGTGGACATTCAAATTATCTAAAAAGGAAGAATTTACCAATTTTGGGGGTTTCAATTTATCATGTATCACATCATCAGAAACATTTGAACATACAGGTAAAGTAATTTTAGCTGTGGATTGAAAATTGTTACAATTATCATAATATTTTTTCAGTGAGTTGACATGATACACTGTCTGTTTCTTTCTTCTGTCGGGCGTATTGACAACATAGTTCAAATCACTTAATTTTGAATGCACAGTAAAGGGTCCACAATATCTCAAGGATAACGCATTGTTCAGATTAGGTACTAGCACAAGAACTTTGTCGCCTGGATTGAATGTTCGTTTACAAGAACTCTTATCATACAGTTCTTTCATTCTAACTTGGGCCTTTCTTAAGTTCTTGTGAGCCATTTCGCACACGGCTTTCAGTCGAACGTGAAAATCGTCGAAGTTTTCCACTGGATGATCACTGGTACCTGACCAACGTTCGTGTATCAGCTTCAGGGGGCCACGGACAGAATGTCCAAACACAAGTTGAAAAGGCGAGTAGCCTAAAGAGTCCTGGACACAGTCCCTCGCGGCGAAAATAATCCAAGGAACAGACTCATCCCATTGGGTGTTACTATTAGAGAATGTCCTTAGCATGGTTTTGAGGGTTTGGTGGAACCTCTCAAGTACGCCTTGAGACTGAGGGTGGTAGGCTGAGCTGGTGATGTGGGTAACGCCTAGCTTGGCTAGCGCTTCCTGAAAATGGTGACTGGTGAAGTTGCTGCCTTGATCTGTTTGCACGATTCTAGGTAATCCAAAGGTAGTGAAGAACCGGGTCATGGCTCTGACTACAGTCTTTGCCTTAATGTTCCGTAAGGGAATCGCCTCGGGAAAACGGGTACTTGAACACATAAAGGTAAGTAGGTACTCGTTGCCCGTCTTGGTTTTAGGCAAGGGACCTACACAGTCCATGACGATTTTAGAAAAAGGTTCTTCTAATACAGGAATCGGACTCAAAGGGGCCTTAGGAATTGTCTGGTTTGGCTTTCCGGCCAACTGACAGTTCGTGCAACTTCTACAGTAACGCGACACATCTTTTCTCATTTTGGGCCAAAAGAACAGTTCTTTGATCTTCGCCGTCGTTTTAGTGACACCTGGGTGCGCTGACATTGGATGGTCATGTGCCAGCTTAAGTATTTCATGCCGATAAGGTGGAGGGATCCACAGCTGGTTTTTACCCAACCATGGTTCGGCTGGTGAGGCAATCACTGGTATAGCGCGACGAAAGAAGAGGCCGTTCTCGGAGAAATATTCTCCATCGTCAGATGATAGAGATTTTTCGACCGTTGCTTGGAGCTCCGCGTCGACTTGTTGAGCTTTAATGATGTCTTCCTGAGATATTCTCAGGGGTAAGCCCCGACTTGTGTTCTCTGGAAGCATAGACTCCAGTTTGGGAGTCGAATTTCTTGACGATGATGGTAGATGTGGTTCAGACGTTGTGTCAGCCAATTGTTTGGTCTGGCTTCTTGTCACCGCACATGCAGGATACAGTTCATTATCATTATCTGGAACTGTTGACAAAGGGTCTGAAACCGTACAGGGGTATACTTTGCTTCCCGCAAGGTCATTCCCTAGAAGTAGGTGTACTCCTGGGACAGGAATACTATCTATCACACCTAAAATGACCTCACCTTCGACGAGATGATGTTTCAGGGCAAACTTGTGTAGAGGGACGACAGTAGATTTTGTCCCCACTCCCTGGATAATGGAAATCCTTCCGGTGTTCGTCTCTGGTGTAATGTCCATTGAACTTTTCAAAAGGAGTGATTGTGACGCTCCTGTGTCTCTTAGAACGGTGATATTCTTCTGAGACAACGGATCACCTGGTTTGCTAATGATGGCTTCGGCAATAAAAGATGAAAAGTCAACTTTTCTCGATCCCTCGAGATCGGTAGACTCGGAAGAAACTGGATGGTGGCGAGAACAGTCAAAATGTGACTGCACATAATGTGTGGAGACTTGACTACCTTCTTGCGGACACTTAGGGTTAGAGTCCTTTTGAATTCTAGAGTTCATAGTTGAACTGGCTGCTTGAGGGGATAGAGCATAGTGCGCGGAAGTACGCACCACCTCTCTGTTATTCTGAAGACGTTTGTAACAGTCCTTGACAAGATGACCAGGCCTTTTGCAGAACTGGCATACTGCTCGACGATTGAGAGTTGATCTTGGTTTCTCTCTGGACTGTGATGCCTTCACGTGTTGGCCAACAGGAGGATTGCTGCCAAAAAGGGGAAGCACGGGGTTGAGGCGGTTTCCTGACACTGGTGGTTTCTTATGCACCAACATATATGTGTCAGCCGACTCAGCAGCCTTCTGGATGTCAGTTATCTTGTTATCCAGTATGTGTAGTCGTATCTCTTCAGGCAGGGACGATAGGAATTCTTCCCTTAGGATAAGTGACCTGAGTTTCTCAAACTCAGAAACTTCCTCAGAGTGTAGCCACCTTGAGAATATTTTCTCCTTTTCAAAGAGAAATTCCACATATGATTGTGTGGGTAACTTGCGGAGTGTTCGGAATTTTGTCCGATAGGCCTCGGGCGTCAGTGCGTAGGCCTTTAAAATGGCAGTCTTGACCAAACTATAGTTATTTTGAACGTCGTGAGAGAGTGCCTGGTATGTTTTTGCAGCTTTCCCAGTAAGGACAGAGCTCAATAAAGCAGTAATGGAGGTTTCGGGCCATTCACATGTCTTCGCTAAACTCTCAAACGAGTTAAAGAAAACGACCAAATCTGTTTCATCAAATTTAGGCACTAATTTCCCAAATTTGGCAATCACTTGCCCTACCGACAACTTTTTTGGATCTACCAGAGAAGTGACATCACTAACTTTACCAAATTCTGATTCCAACCTCCTCCTATCTAAAGCAATTTTAACCTCTAACTCCTGTTCTTTTAATGCCTTCTCTAAAGCAACTTTCTCCTCACGAAGTAATACACCAGCCAACAAACTTTCATCAAATACCCCTTCATTAATGAAATGAACAACAATTTTATCTCTCAACACCTCTGACTTCTGCGTAACAGAATAATCCAATTTCAATTCCTTAACAACACTAACCAAAACTTTTCTACTCAACTTTTCGACCTCTTCAAAAGTAGGATTAGCCAAAAAAGACTCCATAACACTAACTTGAAAATCACAACAAGCCTAGATCCTTTAAATTAACACACCGTGTTGGGCCGTGTACTTGACCTCTAAATGTAGGACGACACGTCTGCTTATTTGACCTAGATACTCTAGCCTGAGCGCGCGTTGTAAGAACACTGCGCTACTGGATATAAAAACAACTAAATCCAACTAACCTTAGTATTCAACTGATATAACCAACAACTGGAACGACAGATTAAATCTCGGCGAGACCCCACTTTGTAACGTTAACCTATCTATCAGCCAAATAGAAGGAGAACGTCCCCGGATTCTTTTTTCGGGGTCATATGCAAATGCCTTACGGCCAAAGTGGATGAACACTTAACACAACGACCACTAGGGCTCGAATTTAATGTCTAGGGAAGCTAGTGATACTATTGTAATTAACACTCATCCAATCTACATACGACCTTTTAATCAGCGAACTCAGAAGTGGCAGAACACAATGTTGAACTAAATAAAATATTTAATGTATAAAATATCAAAAACCCAACTTACACAATGTAGGAAAAAACACTATCACAGATTTCTACACTGTCTAAAGAACAGCCACAGGCCACACAACACTGCTGTAGCTTCAAGACTTACTTAGCGACAAGTAATATTAAACTAGAAGACTAAATCAACTGAAGAAAACAAGGCACACACAGGTCTTAAGTACTCTCACGTTCAAATGGTCAGAGTCTATAGCCGGACAATATGGACGGCTGCCTGATCGAGGTAAAACTGCCTCGTAGGCTGCCAGGTCAAGATAAAACTGCCTCGTGTTGCGAGTGTGCAGTGCAATTAAAGACTTCTGTGACAGGGGAGGTTATCCTCAACTCATGTCGCCATTGGTTGGGATAATCATCTGATCAGAATCATTCAATCAGATTTTAATGGAAAATTTCTATGTCCCAAACACCTTAATAAGTCAGTGGAAAAACCCCAGGTGTTACACCATCATTCCATATAAGGAATTATACAATGTCAAAATAAAAATGACTCGACCTAAGTAGGTCACAAGTGGTACATTCTGCTTGGATGGGGTGAGTTGGTGGGTGGGGTGGGTGGGGTGGGGTGGGGTGGGGCAGTCTGAAGTGGTACATTCTGCTTGGATGGGGTGAGTTGGTTGGTGGGATGGGGTGGGTTGGTGGGTGGGGTGGGTGGGGTGGGGCAGTCTCAAGTGGTACATTCTGCTTGGATGGGGTGGGTTGGTGGGTGGGGTGGGGTGGGTGGGTGGGGTGGGTGGGTGGAGCAGTCTCAAGTGGTACATTCTGCTGGATGGGGTGAGTTGGTTAGTGGGGAGGGATGGGGTGGGACAGTCTCAAGTGGTACATTCTGCTTGAATGGGGTGAGTTGGTTATTGGGGTAGGACAATGTCAAGTGGTACATTCTGCTTTAAAATGTTGTTATATCGTCCCATTCATTGCATACTTTCAATGATCGAGGGAATGTTAAGTCTCCATTCTTCACAACTCATCTACCATCACTAACACATCCCTCCTCAGGACATTCTATACGGTAATGTTCCTAGTGAAATTTACATCACACTTGTGTATCCTATCCATCATTTAATTACGAACCCAACATCGATCAGAAAAAATATACCGACGTGTTTTTCCGTGTCTTTTTTTTTTACGATCAGAATTCAATAGCGACAAATATTGGACCTGGGAGTTATCTCCCCTTCTGTGTATAGACTGATGATTTTATTATTTTTAAACATCGATATCTTCACGCAAGGGATAATTAATTCCCTCGATCCATTTTTTTTCTTTCTATTTTTATGTAGAAGGAATTAGTGAATGACAGTTTTCAGAAACACTCAATAGAAAAAATAGAACGAATGTCCATTGCCAATTAAGGTCACCTCTAACTAGTGATATACTGCTAATTAAATTAAGGTTATGTGGTTGTTAGCATGCAAGCTACCACGTTGAATAACTCATCATCTTTTCCCGTTTGTGCCCAAGACACATGGGGCAGATGAAGTAGAGTTCATATGTTTCAATGACCTCGGCATACAAGGGTATAATGTGGTCATCACTATTCCCAGCCGCCTTTGTTTCCTTAACGTGAGGGACGTTCTACTGACTTGAACCCGGATTCGAACTAGAGACTTACGGGTTAGCAGTCTAGCGCTCTATTGCATGTTAAATTCTATAACCCTTGCGTTAGCTGTTTGCCTTTTTAAAAAATCTGCCCAAGTGTAGTTGGCTACCCGAAAAAAAATGTATGGCTTATAATGTAGAAAAACGAGGGACGGGGTGGTTGAGTGATAGAGCGAACTACTGCTAACCCGTAAGTCTGGAGTTCGAATCCCATGCTCGGGTCAATCGAACGTCACTTAGTAAACCCAGCACTGATGGGGAACTTACTCACGTTAGGCTAAATAAAGACGGCTGGGCTTAGTGCTGACCAACTATCCCTTCATATAAAGAGTTCACAAATACAGGTGAAATCTTCTTCCTCTATACTTTATTTCTTATAAAGATGTTTTAACCAGTAAAATGAATCTTTTTCTTCAATGTTTTAATATATTTGACATCTCGCAGTTATTTCAACGACTAATCTAATGTCTAGTTTAACAATAGATATTCTTGCCTTGCCATCGGAGACATCAATGTTTAACACATATTTTTACAAGTATATCAGCAATTTTAACGACTTATGTGATACATAATTAGATTAATAATAAATATTTTAGCTTTTTTATCGGAGACATCAATGTTTTAATATATTTTTATGTATTTCTCCCAGCATCGCCCTTGACCTTCATGATACCCTGGATTCTTGTCCGACTCTTCAAAGAGGACGTTCTGTGAGTTGATAAAGTTTACTTAGGTGGGGGGGGGGGGGTTAAGAAATTAATTCACATGAAGAGGATGAGCAGCTAATTCATGTAATTCAAACAGAGTTTCTTCCAGGCATCTCTTCGGGGGGGCGAAGCCCCCCCCGAAAAATTTTTACCGCCCCCCCGAACGAAATGAAATTTATATAATTTATATAGAAAATATATACTTTTAACAGTGTCCGCCCCCCCGAAGAAAGTTTACCGCCCCCCCGAAGATTTCAAGTGCCCCCCCGGAGAAAAAAGTCTGGAAGAAACACTGAATTCAAAGTCTCAACATCCTCTATTTTCTCTTTATATCTCTGTTCATCTATATTGTTCTCCCCCCCCCCCCTTATCTCTCTATCTCTCTCGCTCTTTCTTCTGTGTATTTCATAATACATTAACTAAGTTGTTTGTTTATATTTCTTATTTTCTTGTTAACCACTGTTGAAGGCTACTTGTGTACCCTGTTTTCTCTTCAAAAACTGTTGAAGACTATTTGTATGTACTATTATTTTCTCTTTAACAACTGTTGTAGGCTATTTGTACGTACTCTATTATTTTCTCTTTAACAACTGCTGAAGGCTATTTGTACGTACTCTATTATTTTCTCTTTAACAACTGCTGAAGGCTATTTGTACGTACTCTATTATTTTCTCTTTAACAACTGCTGAAGGCTATTTGTACGTACTCTATTATTTTCTCTTTAACAACTGCTGAAGGCTATTTGTACGTACTCTATTATTTTCTCTTTAACAACTGCTGAAGGCTATTTGTACGTACTCTATTATTTTCTCTTTAACAACTGCTGAAGGCTATTTGTACGTACTCTATTATTTTCTCTTTAACAACTGCTGAAGGCTATTTGTACGTACTCTATTATTTTCTCTTCAACAACTGTTGTAGGCTATTTGTACGTACTCTATTATTTTCTCTTTAACAACTGCTGAAGGCTATTTGTACGTACTCTATTATTTTCTCTTTAACAACTGTTGAAGGCTATTTGTACGTACTCTATTATTTTCTCTTTAACAACTGTTGAAGGCTATTTGTACGTACTCTATTATTTTCTCTTCAACAACTGTTGAAGGCTATTTGTATGTACTCTGTTATTTTCTCTTTAACAACTGTTGAAGGCTATTTGTATGTACTCTGTTATTTTCTCTTTAACAACTGTTGAAGGCTATTTGTATGTACTCTGTTATTTTCTCTTTAACAACTGTTGAAGGCTATTTATATGTACTCTATAATTTTCTCTTTAACAACTGTTGAAGGCTATTTATATGTACTCTATAATTTTCTCTTTAACAACTGTTGAAGGCTATTTATATGTACTCTGTTTTAGGTGCTGGAACACTCACCCCACCCCGGGCTATTTTTGGATCATGAGGGGACCGATCGTTCTATCCATTGTGGTAAGTTGCTGACATTATTAAACATAGTTACTTTAATCCATCGGTTCTTAACCTATTTTGAGGTATCGAAACCCACCAGTCTCAAACGCGCATTCACCGAACCCTTTTTTAACGGTTCTATCGTCCACATTGACAAAATCCGATCGTGAATGAGTCGTGTGTGTCTTGACCTCCTGAGACTGACTCAACGAAGCCAGGTCAAGAACCACTGTTTTAATCGAATAGGTTCTGCGTTTTCTTGATTAGCATGAGCTTAAGAGTTTAAGGCATGGCTTTATGCAGTTGATAACAAGCTGAGCCTGTCTGGATCTGACCTCCCTACCCCCCATCCATTTTTTTCTTTCACCAACCAACATACCCCCCTCTCTCACCATCCCATCAATCTGAAATCTGTATCCGTTAATTAACACTAGCTTTACACTGAGATCCCATGCCATTCTGGGAATTAAAAGTCCGTTAGATGCCGTTTTCACCACCTGAGACTACAGGGCTTACAAAACAGATGAACTTTGAACTTTTTACTCATTTTATTTTTAAAATACGGGGGAAAAACGAACCAATTCAAAGTTTAAAGGTGTGAAGACGTGGTTCAGTAGTAGAGTGCGTGACTGTCAACTCAAAAGTCTCCAGTTCGATTCCAATGCATGTTCATGAGTTCATTAATAGATAAATGTCGGTTGGTGGGAAAAGTAAAGACGGCTGGGCATAGAACTGTCTGAATTTTGTTCTTTCCCATACCAACATCGTGAAAATCAGTAAAATAACTTTAAATGTTTGTTTCTAATGCACAGGTGAACTTCATATTTTTTTCTCTTGTCCATTTGACCTTGACCTTTTTTCTCTTGCGCGGGTGACCTTCATATTTTTTCTCATGCCCAGGTGACCTTATTTTTTCTTATGCCCAGGTGACCTTCATAATTTTTTCTTATGCCCAAGTGACCTTCATATTTTTTTATGCCCAAGTGACCTTCATATTTTTTCTCTTGTCCATGTGACCTTGATATTTTTCTTTTGTCCTGGTGACCTTCATATTTTTTCTCATGCCCAGGTGACCTTGATATATTTTCTCTTGTCCAGGTGACCTTCATATTTTTTCTCATGCCCAGGTGACCTTCATATTTTTCTCTTGTCCAGGTGACCTTCATATTTTTCTCTTGTCCAGGTGACCTTGATATTTTTCTTTTGTCCAGGTGAACTTCATATTTTTCCTGAGCATCATCCGGGTCCTCTTCACCAAGCTGAACGCCGTGAACACGCAAGAGGCGAAGAAGTTCAGGTACAGGTGAGAGCTATCTTCAGTCTGCCTCCCTGCCTCTCCCTCTACCTGTTGCTCTAACCACCCATGTGACATAACACATTCACCCCCTCTCCCCCCTCCACGCACGTTGTTTTTTCTAATTATAAACAAACAATTAATCAACCAAGTAAGAAACTGTATTTACTTCTGGAATATATATATATATATATATATATATATATATATATATATATATATATATATATATATATATATATATATGTATATATATATACACTTTTTTATTTAGTTACGTTATATGCATGTGGGAATATTACGTATCATTTAATTCCTATATACGCCATGTATTCACAAGCTAAAGCTACTAATTTTTTATACAGTCTCTAATTTTTAACCAAGTATCTAATCTTTATACAAAGCATTTAAACGTAAATAACTTTGTATTTTTTAACATCAATGCAACTTATCATAGTAAACCCAAATATATAAAAATCTGTCGTAACTGGGTTTTTTTTTTGTTTTTTGTTTTTTTACTGACTTAAGTATGCCACGGTTTATTTTATAAAAATTATTTACCAATGACCGCTGGTTGATTTTTTTTTCTTTACTTTTTAATCTACAGTGATAATAGCATTATAGGTTCGATTTAGTTCTTAAAAAATGAAAGCACTTGAAATACTGCGACCTCAGCAAATACGATATTTCTTTCAGACAACATCTGTCTTGAAATGTAATTGATTTGATTTTGAATATGAACTGCTTTGACGACTATTCCCTTTTGTAAATATTTGAAGCACGTCCGGATGTTTTTAAATGTCAGTTTGAAAAAAATTGTAAAGCAATTAATTTAACGAGACCCACGCGAACGTGAACCTATTTTCAGAACCACCTGTGCGGCTGTTCATTTTCTGGGGGATTTTAAAGGCAGTAATTAGATCATGCGTTGGGGGAAGTTGGGGGGGGGTGTTTGTGGTGTTGGGGGTTATTGGGGGTGTTTGGAGATGTTGCGGGAGATATGAGTTGTTCGGGATGTTTAGCGGTGTTGCAGAGGCGTAGCGACCCTTCCCGGGACAAACTTTCGATTTGCACCCCCCCCCCCTCTCGAACTTTTCATTTACACCCCCCCCCCCCTCAAACTTTCAATTTGGCGCCCCCCCCCCCCCCCTCAGGTCGGCGCCCGGGGATATATGTAGGGTAATATACCGCCTAGTCTATGCCCAAAGTGCAGACATGTATTTAAAATGTCGATCTACCATCCTCTGGTACACCACCTCCAATGGTACACCACCTCCAATGGTACACCACCTCCAATGGTACACCACCTCCAATGGTACACCACCTCCAATGGTACACCACCTCCAATGGTACACCACCTCCAATGGTACACCACCTCCAATGGTACACCACCTCCAATGGTACACCACCTCCAATGGTACACCACCTCCAATGGTACACCACCTCCAATGGTACACCACCTCCAATGGTACACCACCTCCAATGGTATACCACCTCCAATGGTCCCCAAAGGTACACCACCTACAATGGTCCCCAACCGTACACCACTTCTTTCTACAATCATTCACGTCCAATCTAAAAACATTTACTTTACCCATTCAAAGTATTCGAATATTCATAAGTAACCAATCTCAACGTACCCATCGCTTGACAAACACTTTCGTCCACGCCATAATCGATTACATATTCATGCAACCTAGCCCGATCGATTACATGCGTGTGTAAATTGTAGCGAATTAATCACGACAAAATGGGGCAATCGCACAAATTAATCGGTACTAATTTCCAGTACTAATTAAAATGGTCCATTATCGTCCTTGACCTAGCTCTGCCATCTTATCTTTTATTTTTGTTGCCCTGCGGTCCAGGAACGCTGGAATGGAAAACAAAAGGTCGGTGAAGATTACGCTATGGTTATTTCAGGATTAACGACTAATTCACCACTGGGCATTTTTTTTCTTCGGATTACTTTCGTCCAAACAAAATACTGAATGGAGTCCTATAAGAATGTATAGGCTACATTATATTAAAACAATGTGGAACGAGGTTTAAAGATTAAATATGTGTATTACCAACTCTATCTTGAAATATATGAAACGATTTTTAGCTATTTTTGAAAAACAAAATTGTAATATGTAATGCAATAAAAATGCAATTTAATTAACTAATTATATTTTACCCAATCCACATTTTAAAAAAAAACCACGTCTCATTCCCCACCCCAACAACGGTGTGTATTCACCAACCCACGAACAACTAGTCCCTGTTAGGTGGGACGTTGGGTAAACAAATTTTTCAACCTGACCGGCAATGTGCAACTCTTCATTTTTCACTTCCGTGAGTTTAAAAATTCCCCACGTCCAACTAACGACCTTGATCTAAAACACATCTGAAGTCCGTGGTTACGATAAGTTGACATCCAGCCTGTCCCTAGAGCAGTGTTTTTTAACCTGGGGTTCGAACCCCAGGGGTTCGGTGAGTCAGTCTCAGGGGTTCGGGCGCAGGTAAAGACACTCACCTGCAGTGGCGTAGCCAGGATCGTCTCAAGGGGGGGGGGGGTTCCAATTTTTACCCGGGGACAAAGTTTCGATTTGCACCCCCCCCCCCCTCAAACTTTCGATTTGCACCCCCCCCCCTCAAACTTTCGATTTGCACCCCCCCCCCCCTCAAACTTTCGATTTGCACCCCTACCCCCCTCAAACTTTCGATTTGCATCCCCCCCCCCTCAAACTTTCGATTTGCACCCCCCCCCCCTCAAACTTTCGATTTGCACCCCCCCCCCTAAACTTTCGATTTGCATCCCCCCCCTCATACTTTTTCTATATACCGAGGGGTCTATGGGGGGGTTATGACCCCCCTAACCCCCCCCCCCTGCCTACGCCACTGCTCACCTGTCTCATATAATTAGCGATCGGATTTTGTCAGTGCGGAAGATAAGACTGTTAAGAAGGGTTCGGTTAATATAAATATGAACTGGTGGGGTTTGGTAACCCCAAAAAGGTTAAGAACCACCGCCCTAGGGACATGCCAATTACTTCCCTTTACAATATGTCTGACTGAATAGGCGCCATGTACAATACTTGCAATGTGAAGAAGATACGGAAGAGCAAGGGAATTGTGTATCACTTTTCTTGATAAAATCCCGTTTATTTTTTTAATCAATAGT